TCTCTAATCTTAAAAAGACAGTAAATTATTAGGCTTATCTGGTAAATTGTATAAAAAACACTAAAATGATACGTGATGCTAGACCTTCCTTCAGTCACATTTATGGGTGTGTTTTTATAGGAATGTTCCAAAATTGTATAAAACTCTTAGAAATCTAATATGCCATAACTCTGGTTATCATGTTGTATGCTACAGAAATAGCCAGATTTCCTTGTCAATTGCTAATTATAATGAACTTATACCAGATTTTAAACCATGGCTATTCTGTTTTTCTTATCCATTGTTATTGCTTTCATTTGTCTCTCTAAAAGTATTTGCAATCAGATTTCATGGACAAGACTCTAAGAAGTACTCTTAAATACGTGTTTCTAATAACTTTAAGATCGACAGACTAACTGAAAATTCTTCAGAACTCTAATAAGGAAACAGACGAATTTGTGAAACTACTTATCAAGAGCAAGCAGAACAAAAATTAATTACATGAGATTAAATAACTGATGAGATGATTTTATGACTTCTATTTGAAACATTGTTGGTTCTTTACTTAAATGTTTGTTTTCCAGATCTAAGGATGTTTTCTCTTTTTTTCTTTTTTTTTTTTGGAGATAGAGTCTCGCTCTGTCACCCAGGCTAGAGTGCAGTGGTGTGATCTCGGCTCACTACAAGCTCTGCCTCCCGGGTTCACACCATTCTCCTGCCTCAGCCTCCCAGGTAGCTGAGACTATAGGTGACCGCCACCACGCATGGCTAATTTTTTGTATTTTTAGTAGAGACGGCATTTCACCGTGTGAGCCAGGATGGTCTCGATCTCCAGACCTCGTGATCTGCCTGCCTTGGCCTCCCAAGGTGCTGGGATTACAGGCTTGAGCCACAGCGCCTGGCCAGGATGTTTTCTTTCTTAAACTGTCTATAACTTAACAGCAATCTGGTAAAGTATACTTCTGTGAAAACAAAAGTAAAAACATTTGCTTTTTCTCCCTACTCAATCCCTCCAAAATCTAGAAACTGTTCACAAGTATTCTTATGGCAACATGGTTATTTACAACAACAACAACAACAACAAAAATCTGTTCCCTCTTTATAGCAGGATACAACAGAAACCACTGGTTTTGTTCCCAACGCCATGTCTGGAATCTCAAATTTGAGAATGTGCATAGAACACCCTGCTTCAAGGGCTCCAGCCTCACAGCGGGTAAGTAAAAACTGTCACTTCCTGTCAGGCCCAGAAACCTTAAGACTGTAGGAAAAATCTATAGTCTGCCTTGGTTTGTCTTCCCAGCCTCAGGAGGCTGTTAAAATTGGAGTGATTTTTTTCTTGTGTGATCAAGGTAGAGAGAAGAAGCCATGCTTCTGAAGAAAAGCTGCAATACTCCTGTTATTAGATGGGAGCCCTGTGCACTGTTTCCAAGCTCCCCAAGTCTTCCAACTTCCTCCCATTCAACTTTCTTCCGTAGAATTATTAAAAGCAGAGAACTACTCTATGCCTGAAGCCCTATAAGCTGAAACTAAACGAATTTTAAGGGACAAATCTCATTCCTGATGCATGGGCCACACCAAGAGTTCACCAAACCACTGATGCCACAACCAGAGACACTTAGACCACAAGACAGGACTAGAAGCTGACAGCTTCATGCTGTGGGCAGCTTCTCCCAAGGCACTAGAATAAGACTCCATTTTATAATGAGACATTTACCCCTCTTAATGCCTACCTTTTTGACTCAGCACAATAATGGTGTAATCGAAATTTCACAATCAGTAGCTTTTGCTGGGAACTAGATAGAACCCTAAGAGATCCTTGAGTCCACCTAGTGGGTGACTTCGGCAACATTCCTAACACAACTGGTGCTCACTGCGCTTTAATTCAACTCAGTCATGGGACACTAGATGACAAAATTGGTCTACATTGTCCATTGCGTAAAGAAGGAAACGTCTGTGCTATTGCTGATACTACATGCTAAACCTGGATAAATTCTTCTGGGAAAATTAAGGCCCATATACCCAAAATGAGAAAACGGGTGTGGGCATGGTGGCTCGTGCCTGTAATCTCAGCAGAGGTGGGAAGATAGCTTGAGCCCAGGAGTTCAAGATCTGCCCGGGCAACATGAGAAACCCCATTCTCCACAAAAAGGAAAAAATACACACACACCAAAAAAGGAAACAGGCCATATATTATAAAAAGTCTCACCCAGTTTTCCACGGTCATTTGATTTATTCAACTGGTTGTCTTTAAGCCTATGTTCATGACTCAAAACATTATGCAACCTGGGATTGTCATATTATTATTAATTTCACTCTGCATTTTCCCTTTTTAAATTTTTTATCTGTTGCTTAAAGCTCTGCAGAAGTACAACTCCTAACAGAATCATGTTGGCCCAGCGTGTTGAGATGATGCCAACATCCATGGAACAGACAAAACCATACTTAACAGTGGACTCAGGTAGACTGCACCTGAGGGCCACTCCCTCCACACCTCCCTGGTTGCTCAAATGTGGATAAATGAGCTCTGACACTGACTCCTGGTCACAGTCACCTCCTGCTGATGTGGAACCAGACCACACCAAACTGGGACAGCTCCATCCCAGCACCAAGGGCAATCAAAGCCTGACTGCAGGTCAGCTATGCTTTTGGAGAAAGGTCTCAATTAAAAGGGGGAAATGCGAAAGTTATCAGAGTGAAAATGGAGTCACTTGTATTAAAAACCCTAACAAAGTGTTATAGAGCCAGAGAAGGCCAGGAAGGGAGGGTTCTCATGCTCATAGACCTGATAACAAATCCATCACAAAAGACTGCAAAACCACAACCTTGCACACAGCCCATCTCAGCCTCATCATACAAAAATATTCCTCTGAAAACATCTGTTCCGCAACTGCCTGTCCAACCTTGGACTGGTACCACCCTTGTTTAAGGCAATTATCTCAAAACAATCTTGTGATCCTCCTCATTTTTCCTTTAAAAACTGCTGTCTTCCTTGACCTCCCTGAATATTCATAGTTTACTACAGCATGCATATTCTCATTGCAATGCCTATTCCCAAATACTAATAAATATCATTTTCTTATGGAGAGCCTTCCTCCGTGTTATTCAGGACGATGGGCTCAAGAGGCAGACCACCCCTCACTTGGGAAGGCTGCTCAGATCCCTCTCCCAGGACTCATGGAAGGTGGCCAGCAGCGAGCAGGGCCCACACAGAAAAGGGCAGGCAGCCCTGCCACCTGGGCCATCCTCCTTGGCCCCAGTAAGAGAGTTACAGCCAGGAAGTTTAAGGTGTGGGGCAAAGACAGCAGGGACCACACGCCATGTGGAAAGCAGCAGGGCCCTGGTGGAGAGGGAACATCCACTGGGGACACCCAGTGATTAGACAATGGAGCTGTCTACCAGGAGCATGGCACTGACCCTGGCATGGGGCAGGCCCGACAGCAATCCACCATGAAATAGAAGTTTGAATCCAGCAGGAAAGGGGCAGGTTGCGCAGAGCACGTGGCCCAGACCCACATATCATTCACCAGGGTACCAGCACAGCTCTGTCAGCCCACACCTAGGGCCACATTGTGAGTTCCTCATGACCAACAGAAAAGGAGGAAAATGAACAGGACTCGCGCACAGATGGTCAGCTCAGCATGGCAGCATGAGCCAAAAATGGTCCCGGGGTCCTCAGCCTCAAGCTAGGCCCTGCCTTAGGTAGCACACACACCTTTTGGGTCTTCAGCAGCAGCATGGGCACCCCATTGCAGCTGATTCTGATTGCTGCCCGCCCAGATACACCATGCTAGCCCTGACGTGCCCTTCGAGTTCCCCAGAGAGACCAAGGCTAAACAGGCCATCCAAGGGCAGATTCCTATTTGCAGCCACAACGTGCCAATCCTCAGGACCCCTGCCATCCCTGAAGCCACCTATTCTCCTGGAAGAGCAGGAGCTGGAGCAGTCAGTGTGGATGGAGCCTGGCCACACTGCTCACGCAGATCCTTCCCAGCTAAGAACACTCTTGCCCCATCCCACAAGCGCTGAAGGAGACATGTATAAGAATGCTGTACGGGCAGATTCTCTCTCACTCCCACTGAGTGTCTATTGATAGCAGAAGGCATCAATCATCATCGTATACTCATAGCAGAATGCCATACAGCAAGTAAAAGGACTGGACTGAAACTCCAAGAGTAAATCTTGAAAACATGACACAATGTTCTAGAATAAGACATTAATAAGAAGACATAGAATACAGCTGCACCTGTAGGACATTTTAAAACACGCCAAATGAGACAGTCAAAGGATCAGTGGTTGTCAGTGTTCAAGGGGAGGGTGCAGGGTAAACAGGTGGGGCACAGAGGATCTCCAGGGCGGTGGCTTTTTCGGTGATACACAACGGTGGGTACACGGCATGGGACATTTGTCCAAAGCCACAGAGAGGACAGCACAGGCGGGAATCCTCGTGTGAGCTGTGGACCTGAGCTAATAATCATATGTCCACCCTGGCCTGTCAACTGTAACAAACACCCACACCAATGCAGGACATAATGATCCTGACGGCGTATTTTTAACAAGTGGGTGGGGGCATAGAATTCTCTGTACTTTCTGTAAACCTAAAACTGCTATAAAAAATAAAATCTTTTCATTGTTCTTTACAAAAGAAGCACAGATAGAAGAGCCACACAAAATGACACTTACCCATGTCTGTGGATCACGCCCCATCTTTAAGGGGGCAGTGACAGGCCCTACCTGGTAGAGTTTTTGTGGGAATTAAACCAGTTCATTTCTAGAAGTGTTCACTGGAGTCTGGCACACAGAAGAGCACCCCAGAAAGCCTGGTGACAGCTCAGACACATCACAGGGTAGAAAGGTCCCCAAACATGCATGGGATGCTGTCCCTCGGAAAACAGGGGTTACCACTACAGAGGGGGAGGGGAGGAGACCACAGGGACTCAAAAAAGAGCCAGACATATCTGCAAGGTGGATTTGCATTTTTTAAAACTTGAAGGAGAAAAGAAGAAAAATGAAAATTAAATTACCTCAAGATCATCAAGGGAGCGAGTGATACTGAATCTCTTAGATCTCCCAAATGATCTCCGAGCAGACGTGCGTTGAGAAGGCTGAGTGAGTCCAATTCCCCGCCCAAATTTTGAGCCCTAAACACAAAGAAAAAAGGTATCAGGTTATTCTTTTGGAAAGAGATGCTTAGTCTTGTCCAATGCATGGCACAGTAGAAAATCAAGGAATACTGTGGAACAAAGACTTTTAAAAAAGAGAGATTTAAAAGTCATCCCAGGGTAAATCTTATGTTAGGTATATTTTATACAAGAAAAACACGCAAAATTAAAAGAAAAAAAAAAAGAGGCATCCCAGGATCGTCAAGTATTTGCTCTGCCAACTGTGTGCCTCTGACGAAGCCTCCACCTCTGTAAACACAGAACAGGATGGCAGCAGCCCACCCCACAAGGCTGCTACCCAGATCAAATGAAATCACGTGCAAGGGTGCTTGGAAAGTGGGCACAGGACTTTCAGAGTAAAGATGATTAGTATGAACGCAGGTTTTCAGCAAAGTCGTGCTTTTTCATAATTTTATAAGCACTTTAGGAAATGAAAGAATCCCTAAGCATTCAGCTGGTGTCTGAAGACCCAACCAACTCTGGCGCAGGAAATAACCAGCTATTAAAACATCCTGTCTGTCTTCCTCCAGGAAATGACCAGAATTAATTCAATTTGACAAACATCTATGTTGTGCCTATCATTATGCTGGACACTTCCCCAAATGAGAAACTGGCTCCAGCAAATCAATCACCACCACCTACTAAAAACAAAAAGCATCACAGCTGGGAGCTCTGCTTTCCTGAGGACTTGGAATCCTAAGTGACCAATTTCAGGCTTGAAGGAAGGGAACCTGTTTTTGTCAAGATTTCGAGCCACTTTTGGCTCTCCACCTGCATAAGAGTCTTGTAGAAAACTTTGCAGCAATTTCTTGTAAGGCCCTGGGGAAACCTGCAGCATGCCTGCACCTTCCTGGAAGCAGATGGAGCAGGCCTACCTCCCACTGCTCTCCCCTCTCTCCCTGCCCCCGGCGCTGACACACCCCACACAGCCCATCATGTCCTCAGACCCATTCCCGCCTGGGTCTCCCTGCACTGGGCTGCTCCTCCTCAACTGAAAAGTCCTTCCTTCCCCACCCACTGTCATGGCCCAGCCCCACATCACCCCACACCTCCATCCTCCACCCTTCCTTCCATCCACACTCCCATCTCTCCACCCTCCCCTCTGCCCACACCCCTAAGGACGGGCAGAGGGGCGGCACTATCCTCTTGGCAGGTGAGAGGTGCAGCACCCGGGGCCGTGGCTGCGGGAACACACGAGGACGCTCGGGAGGACGCCACCACTGGGCCCCCGCCAGGCCGGGAGGAGGCTCTAAGGCTGTCATCCTGAAAGTGGCGATGCCCAGCAGAGGGCAGCCAGCAGGCATAGGCCTAGAAGCACAGCGGCCAGGCGCCAGATGGACCGGTCAGCACAGGTATCAAGCACACACCAAGCTGAGTTACCACAGTTGCCAGCTCACTCCAAGGCACTAGTGGCACAACTGCTTGTTCTCAAACTAAGGAGCAGGCCCCCATGCACGCTGCACCTCCGAGGCTGGAGAATGCACCGCACTGGCCTGCACCTGCCTGCCTGCCGCTCCCACGGGGCTCAGCTCAGGCTTCCGCAGGCTCCTGCCTTCTATAAATCAGCCTGTAAGACACTCCTTGGAGGGAACCTGTGGTCCCATTCAGACACAGACGCGGCTTCCTGGTGTCTCTGCTCCCAATGGCAGGCACCTTGGGCGTCCTGCCACAGAGGGCTCTTCTGTGGTGACTGATAAATTGCCACCCCCGCTCTCTCCTGCTTAGGCCAGCATCCGTGTCCATGCTCTGGGTTCACACCCTCCTGTCACCCCTCCGGCTCACATTCTCTCTGAAGCATGCACTTCTTTGGTCACCTTTTGGGTTCCTTGCTAGCAAGTTAATGAATCTGACAGATTCTTGAGAAAAATCTGGCTAAGAAATTTCTTTTTCAAAAAATGTACCCACAGCTGACCTGAGCTGTAACATGTACCTGGAACCCAGCAATCCCCTTGCAGACCCACAACCCAGCCTCGTACACATCTGGCCTCCCTGCTGGTAGTCCTGTTCCCATGCCCGCCCCATGCTAGCCAGGCTTGGTGCCCTCAGAGGCTCCCGTGTGGCACCCTGTGCTGCTGGCGGGGGCTCCCCGGGTACCCACCTCGTGGTCTTTGTGCATGTTCTTCCCTCCCCTGACCCTCAACCCAAACAACCTCTCTTGTAAGAGACCTTTAAGCCCCCATCTAAGTTAGACTCCCCAGCATCCTCTCTCCAAGCCTTTGGTCTTTTCCCTCCCACCAATGACACTGCTGTCAGCCATGAGGCATCTCCCCTAGGGGACTGCCATGGGACAACAGCAGCAAAGCCCTTCGCTTCGTCTGATGCTGTCTGAAAACTTGCTGCCCAGCACAGCGCCTGGCTACTGGCAGGTGTGCGGCCCCAGCAGAGGGGAGGCCTGAGAAGGTGCTCAGCAGTGCTCGTAGGACACACGACACGAAGGCCACAACACGGGGGACTGACTGCCCAACAACGGGGAGCGCAGGGCACCAGTATGGCGTGCAGACGTGTGTTACGGCAATAGCAGTAACGGGAAACATTCAGTCCACTGCTAAAGCAACGAGTGACTTTGTTCTCATTACAGATTTGCTATTCTGTATCTTCTGCTCTCGGGAAGGGTGGGGAATGAACCCATGGCTTTGTGAGATTAAGGCTGTCAGAATCAAAATGAGTGACTTGTGTTAAAAACCCTAACAAACAGAGCTGGGGAGGGCCATGAAGGGAGAGCTCGCACATTAGTATGCCTGGGAATAACAAGTCCATCACAAAGACTGCACAAACCACAGCCGTGCACACAGGACATCACAGCCTCACTCAGAACACACTGTGAGGACATCTGCCCAGCAACCACCCGCCCACCTTCAGCCTGATACCACCCTTGGTGCTTGCTGATCCTTGTCGCAAGGGTAATTATCTCAAAACAATCATGTGATCCTCATTTTTCCTTTAAAAGCCTTTGTTTTCTTTGGCCTCCCCAGCTATGCACTGTAGACCATGGCAAGTATCTGCCCACTCCAATGCCCTGCTCCCAGATAAACATCATTCCTTTCAGAGAGCCTCTCACTGTTATTTAGGTGGACAGTGATAAGAAAATTTAATTTTTTTTTTTTTTTTGAGACAGGATCTCACTCTGTCACCCAGGCTGGAGGGAGAGGTATGATCATGGCTCACAGCAGCCGCGACCTCCCAGGCTCAAGTGATCCTCCCACCTCAGCCTCCTGAGTAGCTGGGACCACAGGCATGTGCCACCACGCCCAGCTAATGTTTGTATTTTTTGTAGATCCTGGGTCTTGCTGTGTTGCCCAGGCTGATCTCAAACTCCTGGGCTCAAGCAATTCGCTCACCTCAGCATCCCAACGTGCTGAGATTACAGGTGTGAGCCACCACACCTGGCAGCCCTGACCACGCCCCAGGTGAGCAGCTTTTCCACAGTGAGCCTTGAAACTTGTTCCCAGCACAGGCAAAAGAAAGGACCTGTGATGCCTGGCCACACGTGGATGCGCTGTGCGCTTTGGAGATGTAAAGAAGAAAGGAAAAGTCTAACAAGCAGACAGAAAACAATTCTTACAAAAAACTAAATCAACTCTCGGAACGAGGGCCAGTAACAGATGTCACACTTCCACAGCAGGGAGAGACCAGCGTTTATTCGTGTTTCTCAAATAGACAAAGTTTTGTAAATTAATAAATTCAGATAATCACCACCGATTTAGCACCCCCCTCCCCCCGCTCCCGCTGGTGGACATAATCTCAACTCTTCCCCAAGGAGTACTAAACAGGGAAGACAATAATAAAAATGGCCTAAAAGGCCACTTGTTTCAAACTCCAGCTTTTAAGTTGAGAAGACTCCTCACAACTGTCTGAGAAGACAGGTGGCCCCCAGAGCACCATCTGCACCACGCAGCCTTTGGCCACCGCACCCAGCACTCAAGGACACTGAGTGGAGCAGACACCGCCCGCTGCCCTCAGAGCCTGGTCAGCCTGGGCTCCCAGGCATCCAGGATGCAGTGAGCCGGCATGAACCAGCTGGCTTCAGGGAGAACCAAGGACCTCAGGCCAATCAACCTACCTGGCTACAGGGTCCCAAGGGACGGCCGGTCAACCGGCATTACTATCACAGACAGGCCCAGAAAAGCGTCAGGTTCCCTCCAAAATAAAACCGCTAGAAATGAGGGGAGGGGGACAGTAGAACCTCACCCCCTGCTCAGGTACCAAATTTCTCAGCCACTCTTGGTGCCAGCAATGAATTGCTGAGCACAGTGGCTCACGCCTGTAATCTCAACACTTTGGGAGGCCGAGGCGGGTGGACCACCTGAGGTCAGGAGTTCAAGATCAGCCTGACCAACATGGAGAAACCCTGTCTCTACTAAAAATACAAAATTAGCCAGGCATGGTGGCGCATGCCTGTAATCCCAGCTACTCGGGAGGCTGAGGCAGGAGAATCACTTGAACCCGGGAGGCAGAGGTTGCAGTGAGCTGAGATCACACCACTGCACTCCAGCCTGGGCAACAAGAGCAAAACTCTGTCTCAAAAGAAAGAAAAAGGAAAAAAGAAAAAACAACAAATCATCCCATGCAACCATCAGTTCAGAGCGAAGAATAATTTTGGCACAAGAACCATTCCAATGCCTCAATCCACGGATGAGAACCGGGAAGTCAGGGAAGCAAATCTGCTCAAAGTCACACAGCTGGTGGCTGACCTGGGACAATACCCAGCTCCAGCTGTGCTACTGCACTGCTGTTTTTTATTACACTTTCAAAATAGTTATTCAATCTGATTTTAAAATCCAGATAACATAAAATTTACCACATTAGCTGGCTCAGTAGCATTAGATGTGTTCATAATGTTATGCAAGCACCACCACCGTCCTCCAGAACTTTTCATCTTCCCAGAACGAAGCTCTGCCCCCATTTAACACACACTCTCCATTCCGCTCCCCCAAGCCCCTTCTCCCGCTTTCTGTCTTTATAATTTTGACTGCTCTAGG